CTTGTATTTACTGAATATGCAGTTGTTTTGTTATGAATACCTTTCTAAATTACTTGTTTCACCTCTAACTGCTTTAATTAGACTTATTTGCTTCATGATCCACTCTTGTTGCTTATTTGATTCATTTGTGCCTTAACTGAAATTGTTATCTCTTTTATTCTCACGTTATCTTTCCCTTAACTGCTTATCTTTATTTGAAATTATTATTATGTCTTCTGTAATTGTTTAGCCTTAATTGAGGTTATGGTTATCTTTCCGCTGCTTCTTCTTAGCTGAATTTGTTGTATTTCTTTCCTAACTGTCCAACCTTAAAAGAAGTTAGATATACGATATTTTAGTTGACTTGTCCTTATTTGGAATTATTTGACTTATGAGTTGTTCTTATTATGACTAGCATTCCTAATTGTGGCTACCCCTTGTAAATTAGTTCCTCCGTTTCTTTGAGTTCTGTAATCTCTGAGTTGACTTATTTGTCGTACCCTTAAATTATTGTCATTGTTGCTGTTGTACTAGCTGTTGTGATGCACGAGGTTTTTGTCGTGCTATTGTTAATATTGATTTTTGCACATGCGGCGTGATAAGGCGGGCTATATATATATGGGTTGCGCATGTGGCGAGACAAGGTGGCAACATTATTATGCACGTGTGGCGAGACAAGGCAAGCATTTACTTTATTATTGCACACGTGGTGAGACAAGGTGGGCTATGTCAGGGATTAATTTGTGATGACTTGTGATGTCCTGGGAGCATTCTTGTTGTTGATGTTTGTGTAGTGGTACACTTACCTGTATGAGTTGTATCTTGTGGAAAGTTGTGAGAAAATATTCTACGTGCTGCCTATTTCTTTTCCTATACTTACTAGCTGGCATGAACTATGTTAGGACACTTGCACAAGCATACACGTAGTTGAGCACTCTTAACAATTAAGAGGTTTTCTTGATATTCCTGAGTATAGATGCACACCCTTGTTTACTTGCCTTCTATGTGAGAATGGCTATATTTGGCATGTGAGTCGTCAGTGCGGTTATGAAGTGTAATGAGGGCACAAGATGCCCAGTGTTAGGGTTCAGGTAATGGGACCCGTGAGTTGTGAATTGTATGAGGTTCGGTACCTCGTGGAGTTTATTGACTAAACCCTGGTGCGAAAGTGGTTGTTTTCATCTAGTTGCTACCTTCCCTTGTTTTAATTGTGTTCATCAGATTTAGGCTGTGTTTCCGTTCATTCTTCTATGTCATTATTATGGTGTTCCGATGATAGTTGTTGTATCTCTTTCTTACAAAAATTTACCGTATTAATTTCCACTTCACGTAGTCTTTATGTAGATATCATACTCTGTTGTTTCTATACTTATACTTGTTCAGGTTATTTAGTCCAGTAGGTGTCTTGACTGTTCCTCATCACTACTCCACTGAGGTTAGTCTTGATACTTGTTGCGTACTGTCGTGGTGTACTCATGCTACACTTCTGCACATTTTTTGTGCAGATCCAGGTATTTCGAAGTCAGTTGATCATTAGCTAGCTGTGCGGATTGTTGTTGTGGAGACTCAAGGTAAACCTGCTGCTGCGTTCGCAGGCTTCGAAATCACCTTCCTATTTTGTATTCATATTGTTAAACCTATTTCCCAACAATTGTATTTAGAAATTTGTAGAAAACTCTGAAGAGCTTATGACTTGTACTGCCGGTTTTGGGAATTGTAAATTTTATAGGGATTTCCATTTCAAAAATTGTTAGATGTTATTTAATTATATTTGTTATTCAGTAAATGTTAGGCTTACCTAGTCCCTAAGACTAGGTTCCATCACGATACCCAACGGAGGAAAAATTGGGTCGTGACACATCTTCAAATATTCAAACCAAGGTATATCTTAGGCTCACTTTTACAAACATCTCTTAATATTATACATACATTCCTCTAAAGACAAATGTTTTATAACTCTCTTTTCACCTGTTTTATAAATATAAATCACTTACATACATATTTCAAAACTCTTTTAATCCACCAACATATCTTTAAACTCCTTTATAAATGCACACCCCTCTTAAGTCTCACATCCCTTTTTATACTCTCTATTAGATATATAGTAAGTCGTACTCTTTAATAATAATTAATCAAAGTACAAATAATTGATCCCAAACCTAGTCTAAGTCCTATGGATCTATCTCAGGTAGATTTTAAGGGGTGCCTAACACCTTCCCCTAGAAGAATAAGAACCCTTATCCATAATCTCACCGGTTGGCAGACCAATAAAGAATATGACTTAGTAATTAAATAGGTACCCTAGTATACCTTTAAATATTAGGTGGCGACACTCTTTTATCATCAACAGAGAAATCACAAGTTGAATCTTGTTTTGTCTAGTGCAAAATAGGGTGCAACAACATGGTGACTCTACTGGGAAATTTCTGAAGTTTCTGACCCTAGAAAACTTAGACTAATTTGGCATCTAGATTTATTTGTACATTGCTTTAATTGTAGGTAAAATTGGAATTATGTGCTTACCTGTTTCATGCTTATTATCATGCTTAGTGTTGCTACACCTTTGTCTGTTACTGCTTTATATACATTGGCATCACATTTATTCCTATCGAGTCTTGCCCATACACTATCATACACGATGGCATGCGAGGGTTGTCTTTTACACCCCTCTGTACCTTCTTTTCAAAACTCTCTAGTTTTAGATAATGGCTTTGTCAGGTCAACTAACATAACTTCTCGCAGCCTTCAGTCCAATTCAAAAGTAGGAAACACTCTACTCTAGTAAAATAGGTCATTCTGGCATAAATTTTAGGTGAGTCGATCCTTGGCATCAAAACACGATTAGGAGAGGCACCCTAATGTCAATGGGTCATGAACCCAATGACATGACTTATATGGAAAGACAAACAAACCTAACAAGACACTTAAATATCTGAAGCAAACACTTACCCAAACATCTTTCTTTTACCTACCTCAGAAAATGGAAATCAACTTAAACATCCTTGAGATTAGCATAGTAATGGGAGCGCCACATAAATTGAAACAGTGGTGGAAGCATATTCGTCGGGAACATGGAGATGAGGTTCGGACACACCTAGGGGCATTAACCGCATTACTGAACATCTGAGCAAATAGGGTGCTCACATGCTTACTGATTGAATTTTGGGATCCGGCTAAGGTAGTGTTCAAATTTGTCGACAGTGAGTTAGAATCGACATTGGAAGAAGTCACAAGTTTCACGGAGCTGTCGTTCGATGAAAGGAAGCCAATTTTGCAAGTTACTATGCTCGATTACCGATTTTTGGGTGTCGTAGGTCTGGCCAACAGTAGGAGTCTCAGAAGTATCGAGGACGTATGGATAAGCCTCGACCAGTTATTTGACAGATTTGGGCATCGTGAAAGCTACGAATGGTATTTAGGAGAGTTTCAATGTGACCAAGTGATGTGGGAGAGTCTCAAGCCTATCACTTTCTCAATGGCACTATTGGGACTATTGGTCTTCCCACAGCGAAGGGGTCAGATCAACACCAACCTATTACATATGGTTCTGGCAACCTTTCATGGAAATCTTCAAGCTACTTTGGTGCCGATGGTGTTAGCTGAGATGCTGAGGGCTTTGTCCTCATGTGCACGAGGGTATGATTTCTTTAAAGGTTGTAATTTGTTGCTTCATATCTGGGCTACTGAATATTTCTTCTAACGAGAGGCCACCATCGACTACTTCGTAGGTGTCAGCAATATAATCTGCAACTACAACTAAAGAATTAGACATTGGGTCTCCCCATATGTGCAAGAAGAGTGGAGGGAAATTCTAACAAACGTAAGTGGGAATGGATCAACTGGAAGATGTCCTGGTTAAGTGGAAGAGTAATCTTGTGGACTCCTCATAAATACTTTATTGAGCTGATTGGGCTTGAAGGTATTCAACCATACTCACCCTTATGGGTCCTCAGACAGTTTGGGATGATCCAAGATGCGCCTCATTGGAGAAGAACAACGCTATACGAGGATGAGTACAATAGGCAGATTCCAATCCCCATGATAAAAAGCTCCAAGAAGAGTGGAACGACCTGGTAACAATGCCCATGGGTCAAAACTCGTAGTGTTAGTATTACGTCTGGATCAACGAGGAAGAAGAGCTGGCCCGGCCGAGCAGAGAGGGTATAGCCTGGTTAGAGGATGCGGTGGCTGCTTTGCAGTTTTGCCATGAGATCCAGACATAGTACCTTGTGACCACTTCAGTGCACCGCCAAGTAGTCCTAGGATCCGTCAATCATATGCTGCCACCTGCTTAGGATGATGGCCGGGTAATGGAGTGCATTCAAATAGAGTCTAGCAACGAGCCAGAAGAAGAACCGGAGGAAGAGTCAGAATTTAACGATGACGAGGAAGTTTTGAGGAAGACCCGGAGGAAGATTCGGAAGAGGAGCCAGAAGAAGAGGAAGATATAGGAAACGACTCATGGGATGGTTATTAGAGTTGATTGATTTCCCTTTTCTTTCCTACTTTGTACCTTTATCCCCAGTTCTCTCTTTACTTTCCAAAAGGGCGAGTTGACCAAGCTCATGCAGTTCTATGAAACAGTGATGTAATCTTTGTTCCCACTTGTACCAGTCCAAATTATCAATGAAAAGAAATTGCTTTGGAACTAAATGTGTCAGATCTAAATGTTTGTCAAATATCTATAATTTAGGCCTACCTCCGGCAATGAGAGGTCCCTGTGAATTATAGGAAACACGTTAGCTATAATGCACAAATTAATTGATCTATGTGATTTCCTGCTCTTATAAATGAAGAAATTGACTCTTGTTCCTTTTTCTTTTCTTTCTTCTTATTTCTCTTCTTTCGCTTTATTATTACCCTCAAAAAGAAAGTTGGTTTATTTCTCTTCTTTTGCTTTATTTCTTTTCTTTATTATTACCCTCGCAAAAAACACAACTGAACATGCTCTGGTCATAGCCGACAGTCCAGGGTGATCGGGGGGAAAAGACGACACCAAGAATGATGAACACGTGGCCAGGATGGCCCAGGAAATGGAGTCTCTAAGGGAGGAGGTACAACATATCAGGGAACTAGCGCATTTGGTCTTGATAACACTTCCTCAACCACCTCGATTCCCTTCTTTGGATTCACTCCCTGACCACTTTCCTTCCACAGCATGCCAAAACAACAACAACACCCCAACTTCAGCTCCTACCACTCAATTCATCCCTCCAATAACCCTCGCAAACCCACCAAATCTTCCCAGCCACACTCCTTACATACGGAAGTATGTTCAAACACCACAAAACCCTCATATTACTAATAGTGCAACTCATACCCCTCCTCGTGACGGAGTCACTTGTACTACTAACCAGCACAAACCTGTGACATATGCCACCACCCACGAGCGGTACGTTCCCCCTATATATGTCATTTATGAACCTACATTTACAACACCTATCATGGTCAAGATGCCTTATGAGATTGACCAATACACCGAGATGGAGAGAGAAGCCAAGCGTAAGGAAGAAGAGTCAGTATCTGAGCAGTTGCAAATTTTGAGAAAACAAATGAAATGCCTCCAAGTTGCCCGAGGAAGTGAAAGTTTGGACTACGAGGATATGTGTATTCATCCGGATGTAGATATGACAATAGGGTATAAACCCCCAAAGTTTGATATCTTCGATAGGATGGGTGATCCTCAGGCACATTTGAGGGCATATTGTGACAAGTTAGTCAGAGTGAGTAGGAACGAGAAGCTAAGGATGAAGCTATTGATAAGAAGTTTGACGAGAGAAGCACTCACCTAGTATACTCCATAGGATCCGTGAAATTGAAGAACATGGAAAGATATGGCAGAGGACTTCATGTATCATTTTCGATTCAACATAGAGATCACTCCCGATCGGTTCACACTGGTGAACCTGAAGAAAAAACCATCTGAGTCATTCCAAGAATATTCACGTCAGTGGAGGTCAGAGTCTGCCAGGGCGCAACCTCCGCTGGACGATAGTGAATTAACCAAGTATTTCATTAGAGCCCAGGAAGGGATATACTTCGAAAAGATAATGGGAATGATGGGATAGAAATTGCCCGAGCTGGTCAAAATGAGAGATTTCTTAGAAGAAGGCATAAAATTAAGTAAAGTACAATCCATGGCAGCATTGCAAGCGGCCAGCAAGGCCATCCAACCAGGGTCAGTATTTACCGAAAAGAAGAAGAACGAGGAGGTCTCAGTAGTCATCCCTTACTAACAAACAAACCCGCACTACAAAAATAACTGGAATTAACTACGAACGTCGTCACTAATCTCTTGCTAAAACACTCATAGCTAGCAGAATTTCTTGATAATCCATTGTTAATCCGTCGCTAAATAAGATTAGCGACGGATTTTTCTGTTTAGCTACAGAATTTCTCCATTGCTAAAACCTGATTTTTTTAGTAGTGAAGAGATTCTCCATATCGGAGTCATCGTAGTTTCGTTATGATCAGTTACGATACTAGTGTGTCTAATATTGAGTGTTTTTCAAATTTTGTTCTCATCACTGTTCAACTATTTTATAATATACTTGATATGTGTTGAGATATAACCTTTGTATTGGTGAAAGATAGACTCGCCACATGAACTAGTTAAATCTCAACACATGTCAAGTATATCACAAAAGGAATGAAGAATGATGAGGACGGAATTGAAGATCACTCGTGATAAGTTATGTGATTATGATTTTGATGATTTGCCAAACTTTATTGAGGAACCAAATGAGAACCTGATACGATCAGTTCTTTGCTCTTATTGAGACATGCTCAGTTGTCTGGCCAAACTCTCGAGAAACCAAATAAGAAAACAGATAAGGGAACAAATTGGATCAGTTCCTCAACTATCGTGTAGTCAACTCTACAACTATAAAAGTTATCTCCCTATACTGACTGGCAGTAGTGCAGTGATACAGTCACTGCTGCTAGAGGCCAAACCAAAAGGTATAATGTCTCTATCTATTCACACATGCTCTCTCATAAGCAACATTACACAAAGGTTGACCTAACACTTGATAATCTAAAAACCTATCATCTCAAGTGTCAGCCGCCACTGCTTCCTCCAAGTGCACTCAAAACAAAGGTACTACAAACCAAGGACCAGATCCCAACACTGAAGATGTCTTGAGTCCTTATGTTTCTTAAGTCTTTATTTTTTGTTCTCTACTTGTAAACTTACACGGCTTTCTAGAAGCATTTTGTAAGACATCATTTAACCATTATTGTTTTAGTTGTTTTACTAAAGTTAGTCATGAGTGTTGCTTTGTAATAGAGTTATTGTAAAGGGCTTACAATAAATTTATTGTAAGAGGTGAGGGAGTAATAGTTTAATTCCTAGATTGTAATAGGTTGTAAGCTGAAGTTTGCTCAGTTTAGTGAAGTTGAAATCTTATTGGGGTATGTCGTGATTTTTAATCCGTTGAATAGGGAGTTTTTCACGTAAATATCACGTGTTCTTTACTTACTTCTTGTTTACTATGGGAACTTATAGAAAGCTTGGTTCTCTATACTGTTTGGTGGACTCCTAGTTTAGATCAACTGGTATCAGAGAAGGTTCTTTCTAAAAGGTTTACACCTAGAAAGGATCTTCATCATGGCTGCTCCACCAAGCCTCAAGGAAGCACAATCAACCACAAGACCACCAAGATTCAACGGCAAGTACTATGGATTGTGAAAGACAAGAATGCATGACTTCATCATAGCTGAGGACTCAGAGCTTTGGGATGTGTTTTGTGATGGTCCTTTTGTTCCCATGAAAGGTGTTGGAGAGGGAACAAGGACTGTCCGACGAAAGAATACAATGATGCTAACAAAAAGGCAGATGAAAAGAACTTCAAAGCAAAGAATATTCTTGTTTGTGGTATTGGACCTGATGAATATAATCGTGTTTTATCATGTAAATCTGCTAAGGAGATCTAGGAAGCTCTCAGAACTACCCATGAAGGAACTACTCAAGTTAAGCACTTCAAAATAGATATGCTTACTACTGAGTATAAGCTTTTCAAAATGAAGGAGGATGAGTCCATTCAAGATATGAACACACATTTCACCTCCATTATCAATGAGCTTCATTATCTTAGAGAAGTCATCCCAACAAACAAGTTGGTCCAGAAGATACCCAGCGTTCTACCAGGTTCCTGGGAAAGTAAAGTGAATGTCATCACTGAAGCTAAGGACCTGGAGAAGCTAACCATTCATGAAATAACTGGAGATCTCAAAACTTATGATATGAAGAGAAAAAGGGATTTTGAAAAAAGAGAGCCCAAGAAAGAGAAGAACCCGGTCCTCAAAGCTGCCAACAGTGACTTAAGCAGTGATGAGTCTGACATGGCTTATCTCACTCGAAGATTTCAAAAAATGGTTTGAAGAAATAGTGGAATTTCCAAGAGAGGAAATTCAAGCAGGAACTTCAAAAGAAATGATTGTTGTCATAAGTGTGAAAATCCTGGACACTTCATTAACGACTGTCCACTTCACAAACATGATCATTATAAAAATAACACTAGCAAAGCAGTCAAAAGAAACTCGGTCCCTAACAAAAAGGTTCAAAAAAAGAGATTCCTCAAGTGAATTTGTAGGTGAAGATGACTAAGGAGATACATCTATGGTTGTTTTAAATGAATCCTCAGAGTATGATTTTATCTATGCGCACTTGGCAAAATCTGATGATGATGAGGACAAAGAGGAAAATGAGGTAAATTTTCTTGATAATCACAGAAACTTGAAAACTTACTATCAAAAGAAATTGATGTCATTAGCAAATTTATTTATTGATGTTTATCACAGTCTTATTCGTGAAAAAAATGCATTAACTAAAGAAATTGGTGATGTAGAACAAAAAAGGGATGATATGGTGGCCGTAATTGCAAATCTGAAGGAACAAGTGGAAGAAATAACTATAAAAAATACCTTGTAAAGAATCAAATGGAAAAAGAGATAAACACACCTAGAGGAAAAGAAGTGTCTAGTGAGGTTCAACTTGAACTTGAGAGTGAGCTTAAGAAAGTTAAAACAAGTATTGTTGCTGAGCTTGAAGAGAATAGACTACTTCACGAGGATCTGAAAAGGGTTAAAAGTGATCTTAATAAGTCTCGTAAATGAACCTAGTCCTCTGATGTAATAATATCTATGTACAAGAGCAATGGTGGAAACACGCAAGGAATAAGGTTTCAAAAGGCTAAAATTCCATATAATCCTCATAGTAAATATGTAATTGTGGCCGATAACTGGCTTTGTACTCATTGTAGTCAAACTGGTCATTACAAAGACTCTTGAAAAGCTAAAATCAGTCTTTGCAGAAAAATAAAGTTTTTTGTTAAAAAGAGGCCTACTGTGGAGGAACCTGGTTTCTGAAAAGAAAATATATGTTGCCTGCATGGGTGATAAGGAGTTTAATTCACCCATTATATCATTATAAGGCACCCAAGTTGGCTTGGATTCCTAAGTCTAATCAATGATCTTGTATGCAGGCTGGAGTGAGAGGAAGCAGTCAAAAATAGTACATGGACAGTGGCTGCTCGAAGCATATGACTGGAAGAATGGATAATTTCCTCTCACTCAAGGCCTTTCAAGGTGGGAGTGTGTCCTTGGAAAATGGCAAGAAGGGTTATATTCTTGGTGTTGAAATAATTGGCAAAACACTCTCCCATGCAATTGAAAAATGGGTAGTATGTGAATGGTTTAAAATATAGCCTGTTGAATGTGTCCCAAATCCATGACAAAGGAAATGAAGTGAAGTTCTTATCAAAATCTTGCATTGTTATCAATCTCAAAACTGGTGAAGTGCTATTGATAGCAAAACGATTCAAGAACATAGATGTTGTATATTTTGATTCACTGAGTGGTGGTGATCTAACATGCCTAAGTGTCATTGATGATGATGCTGAGTGTTGTGGCATAGACGACTGGGACATGTAAGCTTTACCTTGCTGAACAAGTTAATCAAGAAGGACCTGGTTCGTGGGATGCCAAATTCAAAGTTCAAAAATCACAAGATGTGTGATGTCTGTGCAAAAGGGAAGTAGATCAGGTCCTCGTTTAAACCAAAGAAGGAATTAAGCACCTCAAGGTCACTAGAGCTTTTTCATATGGATCTTTGTGGACCTATGAGGATACCCAGCAGAGGATGAAATAAGTACATCTTGGTGATTGTGGACGACTATTCCAGATTCACATGGACATTATTTTTTAGGACCAAGTATGAAACCTTTCCAATAGTTGTTGCATTTGTGAAGTAGGTTCAAGTGAAGATGTGTTATCAGGTTGTGAGTATCAGATTCAATCATGGCACTAAATTTGACAATGCCAAGTTTGATGAATGTTTTGCTAAAAATTATATAAGTCACAATTTTTCTGCTCCTAGAACGCCTCAACAAAATCATGTTGTAGAGAGAAGAAACAGGACTCTTGAGGATATGGCTAGAACGATGTTGATCGACACTGGTATGCCTAAGAGTTTTTGGGCCGAAGTAGTTAACACTGCCTGTTACTTGATTAACAGGTGCATGATCAGGTCCATACTTGACAAGACTCCCTATGAATGGCTAAATGGGAGAAAACCCAAGCTAACTTACCTAAGAGCTTTTGGATGCAAATGCTTTGTTCTTAACAATGATAAGAAAGCTTTAAAATTTGATGCAAAAGTGATGAGGGTATTTTCTTGGGTACTCCCCTCAAAGCAAGGCATAAAACGTCTATAACAAAAAGACGTAATGTGTATAAAAAAGTGTGCATGTGATATTTGATGAATCCCATGAATTAAGTGGGAAAGGGTCAC